ATAACTTACTTAAAACATTTATATAGCACCTATGTGCTAGGCACTATGCTAAGTGCTTTATAATTATATATATATACATCCAATCTATATTTGTGTTTTATATATTATATATGCATATATGTGTGTGCATGTGGTATAAACAATCCTATATAAAATGAGATTTGGACTGGATGACCTCCAAAGCTCCTCCCAGCTTTAACTTGTATGATCAATTTCAAGCCAAGATCATCAATGATGCGTTTGTCTGAGGTTCATGTGGGTGGAGGAAATATTCTATTGAAAATCTTAACTGTGCTATTTTATTAAATGTCTTTCATTTCAATGAATTGTGTTCTCTGGCTGACTAGAACCCATGGGGGTGCGGGCTCATGAACTCTTTCTTTCAATGGAGGTATACCTCTAGAAGACCTCGAATCTGGGGTAGTTCTGGGTACCCACATGAAAGAGCAGGGTGCCTGAGGTGCCCACACATACATAGAGGAGGTTTGGATGGACTGGTTAAATGAAGTGTGCGCCATCTTCCCTCCCCTATCTGCTGACCCTAGGCGGGTGTCTCTTATTTCTGTCCTATGAGTGTGCCTATCTAGCCTGACCACATTTAGGCTCAGGGACAAATATTTAAGATGAAAATATTTTTGGATATTTGAAAATAAAATAAATAGAGTTTAACTCTCCTTCCTTTCTGATTTTGTTTGCTTAATCAACTAAGTAACATTTCTAAAATATTTGCTACTACCAGGTACCTTTCCAGGTTGCAAGGTGCTTGAGGTCCAGCACATACATAGATGAGGTTTGGATGGACTGGTTAAATGATGGATGTGCTAGAACCAGATCAAACTGGGCAGATTGTTAAATTTTTGGTGTGAGCATTTATATCTTGGAAATCAGCAAAGGCTACAAAATCAGGGCTTGATTTATTGCTTTGCTGATTATGTGGACTTAAGAAAGTGATGGTGGTTGTTGTTCAGGTGGGTCCAACTCTTTGTGACCCCGTTTGGGGGTTTTCCTAGCAAAGATACTGGAGTGGTTTGCCATTTCAGCTCATTTTACAGATGAGGAAACTGAAGCAAAGAGGATGAAGTGACTTGCCCAGGGTCACACAGCTAGTAAGTGTCTGAGGCTGGATTTGAACTCAGGAAGATGAGTCTTTCTGACTCCAGGCTCAGCGCTGCCACCTAGCGGCCAGTGATGAAGAAAATGTAGATTAAACTAATAGATTGTTAAATATATACCAGTACACCCCTAGTTCTGGGGCTACAAACGCAAATATGAAACAGTGCCTGACCTCTGCGAACTTACCTTTGGTTGGTGGAGACAATACAAACACACACAAGCGAATGCAAAATAAGAACTAAGTATTGGGATGGGGAGGAAGGGACGAATTAGCATCTGGTTGTGGAGGAGACTCCTCATATAGGAGGCGGCTCCTTGAAATGTCACCTCCTCCAAGAAGGCCCCTCTGATCCCTTCTTCTTCCCCAACCCCCTTCCTCTCTGGCCTCTCTTTATACTGTGGAAACACAGCTTAGGAGCCACCTTCTACAGGAAGCCTTCCTTGATTCACCCAGCTACAAACATTCTTTTCCTTGTGGAGTGACTATTTCTATGTATATACTTTGCACTGAATTCTTTTTGGACATATCGGTCTTTCCCTCCGTAGAATTTAAGCTCACTGAGGGCAGGAATTGTTCTGTCTGTATCCCTGGCACTTTTCATAAAGGTTAATTCTCATTTCTGTAGTTCTTTCTCCCAAATTCTCCCAACAATCCTGTGGGGCAGGCTGCATAAGCGTTATTAACCCTCTTTCATATACACTGACGAGGGAGCTGACTTGCCCACGGTCACACGGTCAGGGGGCCTCTTCTCCCAACACCCTGCCTTCTGGCCTGGGGCCTCATCGTAGAATTGTAGGGTCTCGAGCTGAAGGGGCCTTAGGGAACATTTGGTTGGTCCCCCTTCAGTTTATAAAGGAAGAAACAGGCCCAGGGAATTGAAGTAATTAGACCAAGGTCACCACAAAGTAAGAGAGCCAAGAATAAACCCAGCTTTGTTGACTGCGGGCCCCAATTCTTCCCCAGATGCTGGTGGCCTCCAGACTAGGACTAGATTAAGTCCCATTCAACCTACCAATCCACAAACATTGACTGAGCACCTGCTGTGTACCAGGCACCGTCCTAGGCACCGGGGATGCAGATAGACAGGTTCCTTTTCTCTGGGGCTTGCATTCATTGGAATATTCATACAGAATAAACGAAGACTAAATCAGAGATGATTCCCCTAGCAGTTGGGAGGCGAATCTGTGTTTGTGCGTCCCTTCCCTCCCCTGACTGTCCGTGCCCTGAAGGCAGGGAACCTGGGCACAGGGCTCAACTCACACTTAATGTTGCTGGAATGGAATTGCTGAATTTCACACGGTACCTCCCAGCCCTAGTTCCTCTTCTCAGCTCCCCTCTGGGGACTGATGGAAGGGAGGGTGGGGGGGGGGGGGTTGAACAATTTAGAGCGCTAAGAGACCGCAGAAGTGAGTACTCCAATCTCCCACCATCCCTGACCCTTTTGCAGATAAGCGAAGAGAGGCCCAGAGAGGTTGAGCCACTACCCAAGGTCACACAGGCAGCAAGCAATAAGAGTCAAAGTCGAACCCAGATCCTCGCCACAGCACCCGGTTGGGAGGGAGCAAGGCCCCTAACCTTGATGTTCTTTTCTTTCTGCCCTTGAGATTCTGTAATACAGTTTGGCCCGCAGCTACCCCTTCCCCCTCCCCCCACCCCTTCCCTCGCTCGCCAGCTCGCTGTCTCCGTCCTCCCCCTTCCCCCACCCCCAGAGGTTGCATTCCCCTTTAAAAGTCCCAGCACATGCTAAGATGCGGAGCTCCTGCAGGCTGGGCTGCGGCACTGGGGAACTCTGCTGAGCTGGGCAGTTCGCGCAGTCACAGCTTCCCAACAATGTCATTGTGTGCGGGCGGCGGGCGGCGGGCGGCGGGCGGCGGGCGGCCACTGCACCAGCTGCTCAACTTTGCCCGAGCCCCGCGGCCCGCTCGTCCCTTCTGCCTTCCGGCCGCCTCCCCTCGGCTCGGCTGGCCTCTCCCGGGGGCGTCCTGCGGCGGAGCGAGCCCAGCGTCGGGACGAAGCCCTGCGTCCTGGAGTGAGTCCCGCGCGTCCTGGAGTCCCGCGCGTCCCGCAGCACCGCGCGCCCCGGGCGGGTAAGCTTGTGCGTCCTCCCCGGCGGCGGGTGGGCATCGGCTCGAGGCGGGGCTGCTCTGGAGCCTTCACCTGGAGGAGGAGGAGGAGCTGGCTATCCGGCCGCAGCCGGGTCCCCCGGCCTCTCCCCGAACCCCCTCCTCATTCCCTGGCTCCGAACTTGGGAGAGCCTGCCGGGAGTGTGGGATAGGCTAAGGAACCCGGGGGAGGGAAGCCGGAGGAGCGCTGGCCAGAGTTGGAGAACTCTCGGGGACAGCGGGTTCGAATCCGAGCCGGGTGACCTTGGGCCACTCATTAACCTCTCGGGTCCTTTTTTTTTTCCCCCTCCTCCTCGTTAGAATGTTGGGACTGGTGACTTAACCTCTGCGGTCCCTTCCTGTTCAGTGCCTTAGGTTTCTACTTTTTGTTTTCTTTGACTCAAGGCGGTCGGGGAAGGAAACGAGCATTTATTAAGCACCCACTGTGTGCCAGGAATTGTACTGGGATTCCAAAGCCAGCCGTAGAGCAAATTTTATTCCTTTCCAGTGCGTCCATTAAACGTGTGCACAGTAGATCTGGGCTGTACTACTACGATCACTACTACGGTTACTACTGTTAGATGCGATTCATATTGCACATTAAGGTTTGCAAAGCTTTTTAGGTAAACTAATTCTTTAGAAATTTTCCTTCTAGACTACTGGGAAAAGAGTGAAAGAGCAATTTTTTAAAAGATAGAGAAAAAACTTGAGGTTTCTCTCCTCCACCCCCTTTCCCTAGTGAAAAAAGGAAGGCGGTAGAGCACTTTTGGAAAACTTCAGGTTTTGTTGTTGTGGTTTTGTTTTTTTTTTCTTTATGAGAATCTTGTTTCCCTCCTGCCGCCGTCGCTGCGCTAAGCTCCCGACGTGATGGGGAATAGGGGGAGGCTGGCCATGTCTTAGGCTTCAGCCCTTGTGTCTGGGGCCGCGGGCCAAGGCATTGGCCGCATTGGGTCTGGGCTGGGGAGCTGCGGGAGCTCGCTGCTTCGCTTGGTAAAGGACAGGAGGTAGGTACGCGGAGCGCCCGGGATGGCCCTGGAAGTCCAGGTGCTGGGAGGGGACCAGAGGGCACGGCAGGCTGAGGACTTGGGTGCGCGTTGCCTGCCTCCAGCGTGCCCTCTGTGGGCTGCCAAACCGCCGGGACCAAGGGGAAGAGGAGCTTGGAGAGCCTGCGACCGGGCCGGGAGCCACGAGTGGGCTCAGCGGGGACCGGCCAGATCAATGGCTTGTGTCTTAACCTCCAGTTCTTGGGGCTGGTGGTTTCGTGATGTAATTGCTGCAGTATTCTTCTCCGTCGCCAGTTTTGCTTTTTCCAATCACTTAACGAGTTGCGGGTTCCCTGCCTGCGCCAGTGATCCAGGCTTGAGGAATCCCTGCCTCCTTCCACTTTCACCAGCAGCGTTAGCCCCAGCCCCCCACCCCATTCCTCTCCACCCCCTCCCTGCTGCTTCTTCCCTTAGTGTGTCCAAGGAAGCGGCAGCCAGCCGCCACTCCTTCCATCTGGGGCCGGGGCAAACCACGGCCTGAATTTCCCTGGCCTCCAGACAGCAGGCAAAAGGGCTCCCCTACCCCCCTCAGCACCGGGGCCTGGGAAGTGGGAAGGGAAATCTGATTTCTGAGGCTGTGCCTGGGCTTGTCCGGGCTTGTCGAAGCCTCTCCCAGGGACTGGGCAGATCGGGGTGGATCTTCAGAGGAGGGAGCCATATGGCTTTGCTGCCTGGGCCCTGAGGCTCAGGGTGTCTGGGTGGGACCGGGGTGCGAAGGGGAAGAGAGAAAGAGGGAGGTTACCAGTCACTTTGCAAAGTGTCCAGTGCAAAGAAACTGCGAGAAAGGCTCCAGGTCAGGATTTCTGCTAGTCAGAAACTTCGTTTATGTGTTTGTCTCCCTTTGTGTAAGCCACCTGGCTTAATCGGGATAAGAAGAAAGCCCTTGACAAAAATGAACTGAAGCCTCATGCCTTAAGGGACTCAGAATTAGGGAGATTTGGATTCAGAATCCTGCCTCAGACTTGTGCTGGCTGTGTGACCCTGGGTAAGTCATTTACCTCCATCTGTAAAATGGGGATGAGACCTTTAGCAGTTCCCAGGAGTGGGATCTTTGTGGGAATGAGGCAAACCTTAGAAGGCTATTCTGAGAGGAGAGTGGGTGCCAGCCTTGAGTCAGGAATTGAGGCAGAATGAATGATACAGAAGGAAAAGTGCTGGATTTGAAGCAAGAGGACTAGTTTCTGACCCTCTCTGGTCACAAACTAAAGAAATGAAGTCTCTCATGTTTGCTGATCAAAGTTCAGATTCAGGTTCCAAGGGGTAGCTGGGTGGTACCGTGGTTAGAGCATCGGCCCTGGAGACGGGAGAACCTGAGTTCAAATTCGGCCTCAGACACTGGGGTGTCTCTGTGCATCTACAAGCACCCCAAAACCTCTTCAGTATGACTCTGGGTAAGTCAGTTAACCCCAATTGCCTCCCCCAAATTCAGATTCTACTCTTTTCTACAGCTGTAACCTTGGGCAAGTGGCTTGACTGTGGGCCTCATTTTCCTCACCTTTAAAATGAAGGGCTTAGATGAGACGGGGAACTCTGATTTCCCTTTTAGTTCTAAATGGGTAATCCTATATCCTGGGTTCAAATTCGGCCTCTGTCAGTTCCTAGTTCTCTAACCATGGGCCAATTATTTAGCCTCTTTGTAATACCGAATTATAACTAGATTTTCCTGTAGCACTTTCAGTTTTGCAAAGCACTTTATATATGTTAACTGATTCCGATCCTCACAACGACCCAGGGAGGTAGGTGCTGTTATTATCCCCATTTTACAGATGAGGAACCTGAGGCAGACAGAGGTGGCTTTGTGATTCCAGGTAGGTTACTTGACCTTCAATTTCCAATGAAACAACTAATTCTAAGACTACAGAGACAATGTATCATAGTAGAAGAAGCCCTGGCTTTGGGGCAGTAGAAAAAGAGTTGAACTTAGTGGCTTTACCTGTGTGATCTTGGAAACAAGTTCATTTCATTGCTCTGGGCCTCAGTTTCCCCATCTGTAAAATGAGGAGGTGGGCTGGATGACCCCAAGATCCTTTCTCCTTCTGAATCTGTGATCCCAAGTTGTAGATTAGGGTGGAAGGAGTTTCTTTTCTGGCAGTTCCATACACCCGTACAGTGACTTGGCTGTACCCTAAATACCATGATGAAGGTAGTATGTAGACTCAGAGCTAGATGAAGAATTCCCAGCCCTGATAGTCTTTTATTAAACAAGCTCAGGAGATGGGGTTCCTAGATTTTGTTTTTAGTTTTGTCCATTTTGTGTTGTGTTTTGTTTTGTTTTTTCTCATCCTCTGTGGCCCTCTGTACATTTCATTTTATGGCACCATTTTCTGTCCACTTGGTGTTCTGTGGCACATAATAGAAGGGACTGTAGAAATGTCCTGCTTGCCTTCAGGATGATTACTGGATGGGGAGGGCTGGAGGTGCCACCATCTTGGTCCAGTCCTTGGCAGAAGGAGCTGAAGGGAGGGGGACTGTGGGTTTGAGTGGAGCTGGGTGGCCCTAGGTGCCCCAACTAAGGGCATTCTGGAACCTTGCTGGGAAGCCAAGAGGCGATCGATGGGACAATTGTGCCCTGGCTGATCTTTCTACTAGATTAGGATGGTGGCTGCAATTGGTGACTGTCTGTGCTGCTGCCCTAAGAAGTGGCCAGGGCTGTGCCAAAGGTGGAGGGAGCAGGGACGGGGAAATCTGCTTTTGTTAAATAGAATTGATTTTTTAAAATGTTTAAAAAAGGAAAGGAACGAGGTAAAAAAAAAAAAAAAAAAAAGAAGCGACCGTTAGGTTGTTGTTTCCTGGTCAGAAACTAAAGAAATGAAGTCTCATGTTTGCTGATCAAAGTAGGATCTGATCTGGCCTGTGAGTAGGGAGAACTCAGCTTTAATTGTATTTTTTTAAGAACAACATTGACACATTACTCAACATTAAATATAGCCCAATTATCTCCTTTAAAAATGTTTTTTTAAAGTTATAAACTGAACCATTAAAACAAAAGCAGATACATAACATGGTGCAGTATAAACAATGAATTTCTTATCACTCAACAAAGCATTTTTTAAAAATGTATTTTTTTTCAACATTTGCTTTTATTAGGTTTTGAGTTCTAAAATTTCCCCCTCCCTCCACTCCCCTCTCCCCAAGACAGCATGCAATCTGATATAGGTTGTACACAACAAAGCATTTATTAAGCACCTGTTAGGTATCAGGCACTGAGCTCAGTCAAAAAAGTCAATAAATATTTCTTAAGCCTCTATTAGGTACCTGGCATTTTTTTTTCTTTTTAAAAAATATTTATTTAGTATTTTATTTTTCCCCAATTACATGTAAAAACAATTTTTTAACATTCGTTTTTAAAAATTTGAGTTCCAAATTCTCTCCCTCCCTCCCTCTCCACCCCACTAATTGAGAAGGTAAACAATTCGATATAGGTTATATATGTGTAGTCATGCAAAACATATTTTCATATTAGTCATATTGTAAAAAAAAAATAGACCCAAAAAAACCCCTCAAGAAAAATAAAGTAAAACCAAAGTATGCTTCCATCTGTATTCTGACACCATCAGTTCTTTCTCTGGGGATAGATAGCATTTTACATCATAAGTCCCTCAGAGTTTTCTTGGATTGCTGAGAGTAGCTAAGTCATTCACAGCTGATCATCCTACAATGTTGCTATTACTGTGTACAATGTTCCCCTGGCTCTACTCACTTCACCCTGCATCTGTTAATGTAAGTCCCTCTGGGTTTCTCTGAGAGCATCCTCCTTATCACTTCCTATAGCACGATAGTATTCCATCACAATCATATAACACAACTTGTTCAGCCATTCCCCAATTGATGGACATCCCCTTAATTTCCAACTCTTTGCCATCAGAAAAGAGCTTCTATAAGTATTTTTGTACACATGGGTCCTTTTCCTTTTTGTTTATTATCTCTTTGGGATACAGAACTAGTAGGGGTATTGCTAGGTCAAAGGGCATACACGGTTTTATAGTTCCCTGGATACCATTCCAAATTGCCTTACAGAGTGGTTTAATAGATTAAGTTCACAACTCTACCAACAGTGAACTAATGTCTCAATTTTTCCACATCCTCTCCAACATTTGTCACCTCCCCCCTCTGTCTTAAGAGCCAATCCAATAGGTTTGAGGTAGCACCTCAGAATTTTTAAATTTGCATTTCTTTAATCAATAGTGATTCAGAGCATTTTTCATAGTGCTATGGATAGCTTTTTTTTTAAAGGAGGCAAATAAAATTTTATTTATTTATTTATTTTTAGTTTTCAACATTCACTTTTGTAAGATTTTGAGATCCAAATTTTTTCTCCCTCCAACCCCTCCCCCTCCCCAAGATGGCATGCAATCTGATATAGGCTATATATGTACAATCCTAGTAGACATATTTCTGCATTAGTCATGTTGTGAAGGAAGAATCAGAACAAAAGGGAGAAACCATAAAAAAAAAGAAAAAGGAGAAGATAGTATGCTTTGATCTGCATTCAGACTCCATAGTTCTGTCTCTCGATGTGGATGGCATTTTCCATCTATAGATAATTTTGGTTACTTCATCTAAAAATTGACTGTTCATATCCTTTGATCATTTATCAATTGGGGAATGACTCTCATTTTTATAAATTTGACTCAGTTCTCTACATATTTGAGAAATGAGGCCTTTATCAGAGAAACCTGGCTTAAATTTTCTTTTTCACAGTTATGGTTGTTTTTTCCCTCCATCCTATTCTTCTTCCCCTACCCCATTTATTCTATTCTTTCTCTTTCACCCTGTACCTCCTCAAAAGTTTTTTGCTTCTGACTACCACTTCCCTCAGTCTGTCCTTCCTTCTATAACAACCCCTTTATCTTATCCCCTTCCCTTCCTACTTTCCTATAAGGTAAGATAGACTTCATGCCCAATTGAGTGTGTATTGCTTCTTTGAGCCAGTTCCAATGAGAGTAATGTTCAAGCGTTCCCCGCCACCTTTTCCAACTTCCCTCCAATGTAAAAGCTTTTTCTTGCCTCTTATGTGAGATAATTCACTCCATTCTACCTCTTCCTTTCCCTTTCTCCCAGTGCATTCCTTTTCCTTACCCCTTAATTTTATTTTTTTAGATATCATCCCTTCATATTCAGCTCACACCTGTGCTCTCTGTCTATATATACTCCTTCTAACTGCCCTAGTAATGAGAAATTTCTTATGAGTTCCAAGTATCATCTTCCCATGTAGGAATATAAACAGTCTAACCTTATTTAAACAGTTTAACCTTATAAGTCCCTTATTATTTCCCTTTTCTATTTACCTTTTTATGCTTCTCTCTAGTCTTGTATTTGAAAGTCAAATTTCTTATTCATCAAGAATGCTGGAAAGTCTTCTATTTCATTGAATGTCCATTCCCTCCTGAAGGATTATACTCAGTTTTCCTGGATAGGTGATCTTGGTTGTAATCCTTGCTCCTTTGCCCTCCAGGATATCATATTCCAAGCCCTCCTATCCTTTGATGTAGAAGCTGCTAAATCTTGTGTTATCCTGCCTGTGGCTCCATGATACTTTAATTGTTTCTTTCTGGCTGTTTGCAGTATTTTTCTCCTTGAACTAGGAGCTCTGGAATTTGGGTATAATATTCCTGAGAGTTTTCATTTTGGGGTCTCTTTCAGGAGGTGATTGGTAGATTCTTTCAATATCCATTTTTCCCTCTGGTTCCAGAATATCTGGGCAGTTTTCCTTGATAATTTTTTGAAAGACGATGTCTAGGCTCTTTTTCTGATCATGGCTTTCAGGTAGTCCGATAATTTTAAAACTATGTCTCCTGGATCTATTTTCCAAGTCAATTGTTTTTCCAATGAGATGTTTCACAGTCTTCTATTTTTTCATTCTTTTGGTTTTATTTTATTGTTTCTTGATTTCTCATAAAGTCATTAGCTGCCATTTGCTCAATTCTAATTTTTAAGCAATTATTTTCTTCAGTGAGCTTTTGTACGTCCTTTTTCATTTGGCCA